ACTCTCCCATTCCCTGCTGGTCCCCCCTGCTAAGTTTATAAACGGCCACCAGATCTCCTCTCAGCCTTCTCCTGTGGAGGCTGAACAGGCTCAGGTCCCGTAGCTTCTCCTCATAGGGCCTGCCCTGCTGGCCCCTGACCATGCCCTCCTCCGGACCCTCTCAATGCTGTCCTCATCCCTCCTGAAGTGCAGCGTCCAGAACTGGACGCAGTACTCCAACTGCAGCCTGACCAATGTCACATAGAGGGGGAGGGATCACCTCCTTGGACCTGCTCGTGATGCATCTGTGGATGCATGACAAGGTGCGGTCAGCCTTCCTGACCATGTCCTCACATTGGTAGCCCATGTTCATCTTGGAATCAATAATGACTCCAAGATATCTTTCTGCCTCTGTGCTGATGATAAGGGAGTTCCCCAGCCTATAGGTATTAGGGCCATGCAAAATTTCGCCACCAGTTTTGTTTCAACGCTGTTTCAACCCATTTCGAGGTTGAAACTGCAAAATCAAAATGGAACGAATATGGTCGAAACAGCCTCAAAACAAAACGAGGCAAGTTGAAATGTTTTGCCATTTCGGCGCTGTTTCAACATTTCGCCCATAGGCTATAATGGGGAAGGTTGAAACAGCCCATAACTTTGTCATTTCTGGCCTGATTTGGATGCAACTTGCAGAAATGGTAGTCCCTTCTGATGGCATGAAACATGCCAAGTCTCAAGAAGATAGGTGCAGGGGGTTCAGGGAATCTGCACCCCAAAATCTTGAAAGCAAAACTCATGTCATGTGTATGGGTTAAGCCACAGCAGGGGCAAAACTGCAGGGATGGTAGCCCCTGGTGAGGCCATGAATCCTGCCAAGTTTCAAGGAGATAGGTGCAGGGGTTTGGGGGAAACTACACCTCAAGCTGCGGACAAGCAAAACTTGTGACATGGGTGACTGTGGGGGCGGGGGGGGGGAACCACTGCAGGCCTGGCTGCTAGGCCTTGCTGTGGCCACAAAGCCTGCCAGCTGTTAAAAAGATAGGTGCAGGGGGGTCTGGGGCCCTGCACCCCTAGCTGCTCACAGGCAAAACTTGTGACATGGGTGCTTGTGCAACTGCTGCCTCTCATCAGGCAGCAAAACTGAAGATCCCCCAGCACTTGCCACCACAGACCTGGGGGTAATACTTGACAACAGTATGAACATGAGCCAACAGTGTGATGCTATAGCCAGCAGGGCCAACAATATGCTGGCATGCATCAATTGATACATCTCCAGCGAAATCATTGCAAAGAAGTGATTCTCCTGCTCTACTCATCATTGGTGAGACTGCAGCTGGAGTACTGCGTCCAGTTCTGGGCACTGCACTTTAACAAGGACATGGTAAAACTTGAGAGAATCCAGAGAAGGGCTACCCATATGGTCAGAGACTTGCACGGCAAGCCACATGAGGAAAGGCTGAGGGGCCTGGGACTCTTCAGCCTGAAAAAGAGAAGAATGAGAGGGGACTTGGAGCAGCTTACCGCTACATCAAAAGCATACATCTAGGGCTCAGTGAGCAACTGTGCACCAGGGCACTCCTGGGGAAAACTAGGAGTAATGGTCACAGTCTGGACACCCTAGTTGTGAAGTAGTTTGTCCTAATGTTGAGCCTGAAACGATCTTCCAGGAGTTTGTGACCATTACTCCTAGTTTTCCCCAAGGGTGCCCTGGTGAACAGTTGTTCACCGAGTCCTAGATGTATGCTTCTGATGTAGTGGTAGGCTGCTACCAAGTCCCCTCTCAGCCTTCTCTTTTGCAGGCTGAAGAGCCCCAGGTCCCTTAGCCTTTCCTCATATGGCTTGCCATGCAAGTCTCTGATCATATGGGTAGCCCTTCTCTGGACTCTCTCAAGCTTTACCATGTCCTTGTTAAGATGTGGAGCCCAGAATTGGATGCACTACTCCAGCTGTGGTCTCACCAGTGCTGAGTAGAGCTGAGTAGAGCAGGAGAATCGCTTCTTTGCAATGGTTTTGCTGGAGATGCATCAATTGATGCATGCCAGCATCTTCTTGGCTCTGCTGGCTACAGCATTGCACTGCCAGCTCATGTTCATACTGTGGTCAATTATTACCCCCAGGTCTTGGTGACAAGTGATTGGGGATCTCCAGTCCTGCTGCCTGATGAGAGGCAGCAGTTGCACAAGCACCCATGTCACAAGTTTTGCCTGTGAGCAGCTAGGGGTGCAGGGCCCCAGACCCCCCTGCACCTATCTTTTTAACAGCTGGCAGGCTTTGTGGCCACAGCAAGGCCTAGCAGCCAGGCCTGCAGTGGTTCCCCACCCCCGCCCCAAGACAGACAGTTGCACAAGCACCCATGTCATGGGTTTTGCCTGCCTGCGGCCAAATGTTCAGGACCCCAGAACCCAGAAGCCCCTGCACCTATCTCCTTAACAGCTAGCAGGCCTGCAGGTTTCATCCTGCTATGCCGTAACACACACAGTGTCACCCATGTCATGCGTTTTGCTTGTCCACAGCTTGAGGTGCAGTTTCCCCAAACCCCTGCACCTATCTCCTTGAAACTTGGCAGGGTTTGGTGCCTCATCAGGGGCTACCAGCCCTGCAGTTTTGACTCCGCTGTGGTTTAACACATACACATGACATGAGTTTTGCTCTCAAGAAATTGATGTGCAGGTTCTCTGAACCCCCTGCACCCATCTTCTTGAAACCTGGCATGCATCATGCCCTCAGAAGGGGCTATCGTTTCTGCAAGTGTCATCCAAATCAGGCCATAAATGACAACGTTATAGGCTGTTTCAACCTTCCCCATTATATCCTATGGGCGAAACGTCGAAACATGGTCGAAAGGGCAAAACGTTTCAATGAAATGGAACAGACATTTTGACTTGAAATAAAAGTTGAAATGAAACACTGGTCGAAACAGAATGCTTCCATTTCGCACAGCCCTAATAGGTATGCTGCTGGTTCTTTCTCCCTAGGTGCAGCACCTTGCACCTGTCAGTATTGAATCCCATCCTATTCTCATCCGCCCACCCCTGTAACCTGTCCAGATCTAGTTGTAGCCTGTTCCTCCCTTCTAGCATGCCCACCTCTCCCCACATCTTAGTGTCATCCGCGAATTTGAACAAGGTGCTTTTCACTCTCTTGTCCAAATCGCTGATGAAGATGTCGCTCGAACAGTGCGGGCCCAAGGACCAAGCCCTGGGGGACTCCACTGCCCACATCCCTCCAGGTTGAAAATGACCCGTCCACCACCACTCTCTGGGTGCGGCCCTCTAGCC